AAATATGTTAGGATGGTGGTTATGTGAACGACAATTAGATAAATCAGGTGGATTAAATGGTCGACCAGAAAAATTGCCAGATGTATGTTATTCTTGGTGGGTTTTAGCATCATTAAAAATTCTTGGAAAAATTCAATGGATTAATAGTGAAAAATTAAGTAAATTTATTTTAGCTTCACAAGATGATGAAACAGGTGGATGTGCTGATCGACCTGGAAATATACCTGATCCATTTCATACATTATTTGGTATAACTGGATTATCATTATTAAATATATATGATGAAAATATAATTAAAAAAGTCAATCCAGTTTTATGTATGCCAGAATATATTATTCAAAAGATGGGAATAAAAATGCAATTATTATAAACTTTTATTTTATTTATTTTTTTGTTGTTAAAAACTTTGTGATTTTTCAACCAAGATTCCTGATGAGTAACGATAATTAAATTGATGTTAGATTTTAATGGAAATATGTGTAGAATCTTTTCAGATAAGTTGCTTAATACATGATCATTTACATTCAATCAATACATACTTTTTGTCTGTCATTCCATTGATGCTTTTTTGAGATACGGATAGATTTATCATCAAATATATGATTGACTTCTTATTAAAAAAAAAATCTGAAGAAACTAAAATCAATGTAGCAAAACACAAATGCAGCTGTCGATTGAATTTTCTTGTAACATATTATAAAAAGCTTTTTTTGGCCTTGCAATGATAGTTGAACTTATTATTTGAATATAAACTTATGAGTAAATACAATAGATGAAAAATAGAAGCAAAAAAATAAGGCAACCTGCTCTTTTTCTTTAATAATTTTGTAACAATCGAAAAGTAAACGTTTACGTTCTCTTATGCTTGTACATCTAAGAAAAATGATAAGTGAACAAACTGAAAACGATTAGCACGTAATTCAATAATTTTCTATTATATTTAAATCTGAGTTGAATATTTTGTATTCAATTTATTTAGGAAAAAAATTAATTTTTGAAAACAAAGATTGCTTATTCACAATATGCATTTCTGAAGAAATCAATTAGATTTTAATGCTTTAATCATTCATTTTTAATTTCATACATATGCAACAAACTACGAAAAAAGAAAAAAACCTTTTAAGTGAAGACAAAAACAGCAGAAAATAGACAAAATTATCTACAGATAGAGGACACAAATGTTGTGAAAATATCGAAAAAATTCGAATTTTCAGTTTATCGTTAATTTTATATGTTAAGTTGTGCAGAAACTAAAGTCTTGATGAACTTGCGTTGTTTCTTTTTTATTGTTATCTTCATATGTTAGAATCCATCTGCACTTCTTTCAAGATAGCTTTGCCCACCTCAATGACAAGATCTTGATCCATGTTCTTGGAAACCCATTGCTTGCCCCAGGCGACATCCACGAATGTGACGCCCATGAACTCTCTCTTCTCCTTATATCGCGGCACAACATGATAATGGCAATGGTGTCCATGTGATTCTTCATTAGCGAGATAGGCAAAGTTAAGTGGACCGTCAAAGTTGAAGAGTCGGCGGAGCGAGCGCTTGAAGGTGGTATATAGGTATAGTAACTCCGTTCGCTCGTCATCAGTCAGATTATCGTAGTCGATAATTCCATCGCGTTTGAGCCAGAAATAAATACGGCCAAGATTGTTTCCACCGCGTTCGCTCACATAGGTATCCCAATATGTTCCGGAATGAAGTCGATACCGATCGAAATATGACTGATCCACATTGGACTAGGGGTTCGATTCTACAAAGAAAAATTCGACGTTACATCATTTTGAAATGTAATATATAAAATTCTAGGTAGCCTAGAATTTTACGCTTCCTAAATAATAATGATCACTTTTCGAAAAGAAGCATACTTTTCTTTCATAAGTAAAATATCCACTTTTATTACTGCAGTATAGGGAATTTTCTTTCAATTTTTGAAGTATAGCATGGGTATGTTTGTCTGTAGGTTCATTAGAGGTTGATTGGAAATGGCGCCAAACCAATAGGAAGGAAAGAGAGAGGGCCCGCAAAAAATGACAAATGATAACATTGGAGAGGAGAGGTTGAAAGACAAATGGTGACACTCTTTCACTGCCTAAAATCGCAGGATAGATGGTTGACACGAGATATCAATTATAGTGGTGTTTCTGTTACCAAATTCTAGCTATATTTAGACACGTCTGTGAAGATGTGAGTGATTATTGGTTAAACTCACTCTGCACCTGCACCCATCTTCAGCAATGTTATCAAATATTATGTCAAAATCAAGAAAAGATCATTGAGCAAGTATACTAGAATTAAAACTATTATTTTCTCATTTCTTTTTTTCACATCTGAACTTGAAATATCGTTAAAAAACCGTAGTGTCAAGTACTTCATTGATAGTACTATCACTGTCAATACTTGAACAATAAGTTATTTGCGTAGTTTAAACGCTCGTACATGATTTCAGTCATCGTATATTCAGGCAAATCAATAGTAAAAAAAAACATGTATGCGATCCTAGAAGACAAACAAACGTTGCATTATGCTATGACAATGCAGATTTATTGTTCTCTACTTAGTTTATACTTTAAAGTCGAATATGAATTCTTAAATACAGTGATCATAAAAGATATGAACATTCAAGGTATACGCCAATACTTCATTGACTCATGTATATTTTCAAGAAATAAACATTCCTTTCAAATTTATCATAGAAAATAATTCCTAACTGTCTATTAGAGTATTGATTTCATCGATGTATTGACTATTGTAATAGATTGCCTCTGCTTGAACAATATGTTTCGATAAAATCTCATTGTTGAAGTTTATCCTGAGTACTTTCTGTAGATGAAAATTTCAAAGTTTTCGATCAATTATCTCTCAAATAATAATATGGATTTTCCAAACTATGCATGCTTTGCATGGCATTATTATCGGTTTCAAAATAGAGGACGAGTAAATATTTTTTGAACAATCGGATTTATTCTTGGTACACATTTTAAAAACGATATTCTGCATCTATTTCTCAATTGACCTGAACTGTTAATATGATTATTAGATGAAAAAAATTGTTCTCTTTTGATCCATCTAAAGCTGATATTGCTAGCTTGTTCCATTAAAGAGTTATAAGAGTTTTCTTGAAATCTTTGATTTCAGTCTATTGATTCAGGACCATCTGGAAGAGCATCTAGTTCGGATTGATTCATCATACTAAGTCGAATACCGATATTTGTTTTTGGATTTGAAATGAATGGATATTGTTATCTGAATACTTGCATGAAACGTAGGCTAATTAAGCCCTATAGTGTTAGATTGAAAAATTTTGCAAATATTCAAATGAAAATATGAGTTCTTTCCAATTTCAAAAACAAATATTGTGATTCAACTCAGCATGATATATTATCCTTGCCTCAATGTTCTTTCGGGTAATCGCAAATCACTTAACTCAAATCAGTAGTCTCAAGAAAATTTGTATAACTCATGAATTCAACAAACTAGCAATGTTGACATTGTGTACATTGAAAGAGAACAATTTTTCCTACCTAATAATCATATTAACAATCAAGGTCAACTGAAAAATAGGTTCAGAATATAGGTTTTTCAATGTCTATCAAGAACTAATATAATTAGTCCAGTGTTGGCCAATCAAATTTCAGTGTTGAATTACATGACTAAAAAAAAGTGTTCATTTGTATATGCTGAAAATTTACTCCAAGGATGATTCAATGGGTAATCGATCATGGAATACTAGATCAAATTAAGTAGAAACTATCCTTTTGACTCTATACGAAAGTCTACACTCCTTTCATAATATAAAAATTTTGACTTGATCCGACAAAACAATAAATACCAAACCTTCACTCGTCGGATAAAGAACGCGAATGCAATGAGAACACGTGAGTGCAAGTATAATTTATATACATGTATCTTTGCCTAATCGTGCAAAATTGCAACTAGCGCACAAGTTGCTTATTTTTTTTCCTTGGGATATATAAGTTACAATCTCATTCAAACAACGACACCCATACATTCTTACTGTCTTCTTTATGTGGTACTTTATGAATGCGCAACATCAATATTCTGCAGTGTACGAATAGGGTGTGGATGGAGGCGTGCGTGTTGATTTTCTCTTCATTCACTCACGCCCACACTCAACGTCGAGACTCACTCATTCCTTAGTATTCGAACATCAAATCAAGACAAATTTTTTTTTTGTGTCTGAAAGGATAAAGTCTGTTGATTAAAATAATTCAAATTTTCACTTTTGATTTACCGTAATTAAATTTTAATATAAAGCTAAAGTGGAAGTATTTCAGCAAATTGATTATTATCAGTCAGTAAGTTTACAATATTGTTGTAGGATGAATGAGAATTTTACAAAAACAAAACTGATGAACTCGATTGTTTTTATTCTTTATTAAAATTTGTATTTTATTGATATCTTCGATTCATTATTGATCTTTTCAACGATTGCAAAACTTGTTTCAGACAAGTCTAAACAATGACCTAAAACACACTTGATTCAATAGATGTCGCATGTGTTTATTTGAAGTCAAAGAATTCGATTCACACAATTAAACAGATTTCATCGGCAATCTTTTCATCGAACATTGTTTGACAAAATTGTCTAAAAACAACAAAAATTGTCCTAATTTTTTTCGAACATCAATGAATATTTGAACATTGAACTAAGCACAGAATCGTTATAGAAAGACCACAGATACTAACGAGTCAAGGAAAAGAGGAGTATAAAATTTTATTTTGGATAAGAATTCTAAATTTGAATTCAATTAACATATCAACTTTCTTTTTTCCATGTAAAGTTTTGATACTTTAATTGTCATTGGCTATAAATTCTACCATGATGAAATCCGCAAACAAAATGAAACAATTTGATAGTGAAAGAATTCTTTCGTTGATAAAGCAAAGAAAGAACTCAGCAGATAGTGTTGTTATCACATTTTATCAATACTCTTTCATTCGTCCTTGTTTTTATTTTCAAAGTAGATATTTACATGGCGACAGCAACAAACAAAACATTATGTATTAAATGCAAAAAATCAAAAACGACTATGAAATGTAGTGGATGTTCTAAAGATTTTTGTTTTGATCACATAGATGAACATCGTAATGAATTGAGTGAACAATTGGGTACAATTGAGGATCAATTTAATGATTTCAAAATTGGAATTGATGAACAAAAAGCTGATCGACAAAAACATGAATTAATGAAACAAATCAATAGATGGGAACGTAAATCGATCGAAAAAATTCGACAAGTAGCCAATGAAGTTCGTCATGAACTTTCATCGCGGATAGTCATATTTACTACTGATCTCGATGTTAAATTAAAACAATTGACACAAAAGATCATTCAATGTCGTAAAGAAAATGATTTTGCCGATCAAGAAATTCAAGATTTCAATGAAGAACTTGAACGATTAAGAGACATTCTCAACAAGCCACCAGATTTCAAAATTAAATACGATACAACATCTTTCATCAGTAAAATTCATCTTAACATGAAAAGTAAATTATATATTCTAATTGAAATTGTAATAGTCCAAAGAGTTTTCCTTCATCTCATTTTTGTCTGAATGATCAAAATGAATTCTTCCACTATTCAAATTGTATTTCATCACAAAACTTTTCATGTTAACAAAATTTCATTCTGAAATTTCAATAGGATAAAACATTCATCATTTATGATCGTAGAATATTCGATGAATGTTTTAAATTATTACATGAAATTAGCATGATGTAGCCAATATGAAATGATTTAATGTTAGCCTACGTAAATATGAATGAATATAATGTCAAAGAAAAGACTTATAAAGCAAAAGATTGAATTCGAATAGGATAGGAAATAAACAATATATTGTCATCTTGAAAGATATTACCAAAATCTTGAAAAACCTTATTAATCAGACTCGAAAAAATAAGCTCATTTGAAAAATATTGAACTTTCTATTTGAAATATGTGAAACGAGAGAATCATGTAATATTTAGTTTTCAATGGATTTTTAATTCACTAAATAAAACACTTCAAAAAAATCAGTTCATTTTGAGATAACAATGCCTATAGAAAATTGTACGAATCTTCAAAGCTGTGTGATAAATCTTTGACAATAATTATTCATTTCTATGTTTTTATTTGACTAAATCATAATTAGATTTTGTTCGTTTAAAATCTTTACATGTTGAACTTTTTGAGACAATATCAGAAAAAGATATAGAGTGATTTCTCCAATAAGAAATTGGACGAAATCAAAACAATGATCGATGACTATCTCATTGATGTTTCAAATATCATCGTTCTCGATGATCCATGTCTTTTTCGCGTTTGCTCTTGCGAGAGACAAGTTAAATCACTTCAGTCAAAATAACCTTAGACAAATGTACATCTCTTCAAGAAGATCGTTCTTCTATTCAACCTAATAGAGATGCCCGATTCCAATTCTAAGAATTGGTCGAAACAGGAATTGGGAGTTTGTTGGAATGGATCTGATATTAGACGGCGAATGTTAATCATTATTCCATAGAAGCGATTAGATTTTTCATCATTTGACACATCATAGCAACGAGACCACTATTAAAACATTGTTTAGTATGAAAAATTGAGTAAAATTGCTCTTCCTCTCGCTTGATCAATCAAAGCTCTCTACTTCAAAGAATGACTTTCATCCATGTAAATTGATTCCGTGTGGAGAAATGAATATCGTATTTTGTTTCAGCACAACTATCACGCAATACAAATTTGAATGCCAATGCAAAATGGATACAGAATGGAATCACTGTGGCTGGAGGAAATGCATATGGTAGTGAAATGAATCAACTCTACAGTCCACGGGGCTTGTGTATTGACGATGATCAAACTGTCTACGTTGCTGAATGGACAAATCATCGTATTGTGGAATGGAAATCTGGTGCAATGACTGGTCGAGTTGTGGCTGGTGGAAATGGACAAGGAAATCGACCTGACCAGTTGAATGGTCCGACCGATATGATTATTGATAGAGAAAGAGATAATTTCATCATTTGCGATCATGGTAACAGAAGAGTAGTTCGATGGCCTCGTCAAAATGGTAAAAATGGAGAAACAATCATCTCAAATGTTGGATGTTTCGGCTTGACTATGTACGATGATGGATTTCTATATGTTGCTGATTACGATAGACATGAAGTGAGACGATATCCAATGGGAGAAGATCAAGGAATAGTGGTTGCAGGTGGAAATGGACAAGGAAATCGCCTCGATCAGTTGAATAATCCGACATTCACATTCGTCGATCGAGATCATTCCTTGTATGTAACAGATTACAGTAACCATCGTGTGATGAAGTGGATGGCAGGTGCAAAACAAGGTATTATTGTGGCTGGTGGTCAAGGTCAAGGAAATAGTCTTACGCAGTTATTAAATCCTGGAGGAGTTATCGTGGATCAATCAGGTGCTGTTTATGTGGCTGACCAATCAAATCATCGAGTAGTGCGTTGGGCTCCAGGAGCTACACAGGGAAGTGTTGTCGTTGGTGGAAATGGTTCTGGGGATCAATTAAATCAACTCTCTTTTCCCATCGGTTTATCATTTGATCAAGAGGGTAATTTCTATGTGAATGATAGAGAAAATCACCGAGTGCAAAAGTTTAACATTGATCAAAGTTAATGATTTTTCAAAATTGACATTGCTTTAACGCTTTTATCATAGTTTTGAATAAATGATTGAACAATAAAGTCATTTCGAATGGGATCATCTTGTATCGAAGAGTATATGATCTTGAATCATGAAAAAAAAAACTCATTTTCCCTCAAGTATTATCAAACATTCCTGTTTCTGATGTTCTGATTTCTCATCGACTTAAACCATGTTGTTTTCATTAAGAGGGAGTCGATGATTTCTGAAATTAATTTCTGAAATAGGCAAATATCAAAGATGACTTGAATTCCAATTCATCGAACTGTCGAAGTGCTCTATATACAGATAGGAATGATTTGAAAATGATCGAATATTTCAAAAATTTCTCTTAGCTTCTGTCATTTGAAAAAAATCGAAGTTCATCATGTAAAAGTATTAAAATTGCAGACGAAAGAGAAATGTGTCTTGTGCGAACGTTGACAGTTATGAAGAACAGCAGAGATCTTAAGCTCGCAACTGTTGTTGTGAATATGAAAAACAATGATGTGAAAATATCTTGACCGATATTCGTCACAAAAGTGAGAAAACGCTATTTTGTCCGCATATCGCATTTCAAATCACATTGTGACTGAATGAATGATTTGTTTAATTTGATTGCTAGTTAGATGTTTACGAGACTTTTTATCCAAAACCTGGAAAAGGATTGACCGAAATTAAGATAACGACTCATGTCTGAATTGAGCGACAATATTGGAAGATGATTAAGCTCTTCGTGTCGATCATTTGTTCTAAGAAATCTGTCATCATAGTGATTCGTTCATCGTTATGTATTATGATAAGCTGTTGAAGAGCCTATTGAATTATTAAGATCGATGTCAAATATGTGATTAATAGTGATAGCTCATTTCATCATGGTTCTATCAATAAATTTTCTCTCGTACATAGTGATCAACGATACTCTGATGCAATGAAAATAGTTGCTTTTGCATCTCTCTTTGATGAAAAAAAAAGAAAGTACGAGTTCATGGATAAGAAAGAATATTATTCAATTAATTCTGTCATGTTCTCAATGAGAACTGCTATGTTTGTTTAAATTTGGTGAAAATGAGAAGAGAAATCCAAATAGAAATCACTGAAATGATTCATCATTTCGGATGTATATGTAGGAATGTTTCTCTTCACATTCCCACATGCAGTACACCGGTACTCCTATTCTCGTTGGACTAATTGTGACAACTTTTGGATTGTTCGTGGTGGAAACTGATCGTTAAAGTCAAAGACTTTTCTTGTCTTCGTACATAATTTGACGATGTTTCAATCATGGGTAAAGAAAAAAAAAAGAGAACGATCTTCTGCATAGAATCATCTTATTCTCAGCATCCATTGCAGCGTCAAATAAGTATTTATGCAGATGAATCTAATTGCATATGGCGCTCACTCATTTAGTGATTATGAATACGCACAAAATCAATCATTGATAAATTTTTATGATATCAGGAAAAAAATATATATCCTGAATATTGGAAAAGAAAAATATGATTTGATTGTTGAAATAAAATGATATTCTATCAAAGAAATAAATCGAAGTTTCAACGATGAACAACCACAGTTCGATTTCAATGATCAATCGTGATCGACGTCATTTGCGTAATCAGGATGATTGTCATTCGACTTGTGATCGAATCGGGGAAAGAATTTTTGTTCGAGTATTGCTATTCATCCGAACTCTATAATCACAATGATTCGTCACATATGTTTATTTCATTTCAATAGAAAAATTAACGTAATTGAATTATATTCACTAGATTGTAAACAGTGAATAAAATTTCGTGACGATGATATAAAAAAAAAATTTCTTTGTTAACAATACATTCAAAAACTTGATAACGTTTAACAATATGATTCCACAACGATACTTTTGATCACCATTCATTATCTATAGTGAGAGATTGGTTGTCATCTTCCACAATTTCAATGGTAATGACAATAACATCGGTCAGGTTCAACAAAAAAAATAATAGTGATAACAATTCAAATTAGATGATGAAATGATTTATTTGAATAAAATAATAAAAAATAAGAGTAAAACGTTTGTATCAAAAATCGATCACTGTCTCAGGAAGAATCAAAAACTAATTTTTCCAATTAATTATTTTTCACTAAAATTACTATAATAAAACGCATCTATTGATTTTAGCGATAGTACAAAAAAATCATTCCAGATATTATCCAATTGAGTATTGAACATTTAATTCGAAACAACGAAGAACTTCGTATCCAGGATTGCTAAATCCAAATTTCAAAAGCCAGCAGTTCTTCTACTAAGTTAGTGATGACAGAATTTCCACTAAGTGATATATATATATATATATAAGAAAAAAAGATAATTACGTAGACTTTATTTTACTACTCATTTCATAGTGATTCATTAAAGTATACCGATAAAATAGAAAATTAAGTTTAATTAAACAGTAATATGAAAAACTAAACAAAATGAGCATATATGAACAATAATGTATCAACTATATCGTTCGTGGTGCTCTTGAAATATGACTATAGACGGCGGAATCACAGGGCCAGGGTAAGCTCGGGCCTACTCTAGTTTGGAAAGCTAAAAGCTTAGGTAAACTCCTAGATAGGATAAATGAAGACTTGGGTAGGCTAAAGCCTACCCTACTTTCAGATTTCACAGGCTATGACAGGCTCAAATAATTATTTTCGATTACATCAGATTGATAGATTTGTGCAGTATATAAAAATTCTTGTACAGACGTCAAATTTTTTTGCCACTCTCGGCGGCCAATAGCAACATTTCTTATTGAAACAGACTTAGAAATTTAAAAAAAAAATCTTGATTTTGTATGGTTAAATATGGAATATTGAATCAGCCATGACTTAAAGTGGTACTCTTTCGTTAAAAGTGACGAAGTACTACATTGGAAACTTGAATCACATTAGCTAGTAGCTGCAAAAGATTTTCATCACTTTTACCAACTAAGATTACATACCTAATCATTAGTGTTATAAGAACAGCTTTTCTCGATTACTCTTTCTATACTTGGAAAAAAATTTGTTGCTGACGTCCGTATATTCTCGTTCTCGGAAAAAAATTGTTGTTCTTATTCTTCCATTCTCTTTCGCGGAAAAAAGTTGTTGTTCTTGTTCTTACATTCTCTTTCGCGGAAAAAAATTATTCCAACTTCTCTAAGCAGAACTGTAAACCATTCCATAGATCGACGATGTGCAAGTTTTTTTTTAACTTTTTTTCTTTCAGCGGTGGCTGAAAATGCTCAACTTTTTTGTCTGTCGATGGAGACGAGTGAATTTGTCGAACGGTTTCTTTAAGATTTTCATATTTTCGAGAACTTAGCGGATGAAAAAAGAGAAAACAATGGTAGAGAACATACTGATAGAAAAATGAGACAGGAACATTGTCAAGAAGTGATCTCATGCATCAAAGAATCTTCAGAACTGTTAATTTTTTTTTGTCGCAGCGACGGCTCAGCTCATTGATTTATACCGTTGACCGTGCGATTTCAGGAATTCATGCGCCTGTTTTATTTATAGATTTTAGGATAACTGTGACACAACTTCAATTATGATTGGAGTTACAGTAGGTTAGTTACGTAAAAATAAAAAGCTATTACATGAATATATCTGAATATGTATGAAAATATGAGAAAAAATGTGGGAACATCAATACTTAATGAAGTTCCTATTTCCATACGAAATGTAGGTAGAAAACGGCGAGTATAGAAAAATATTTCTACAGAACAAGATCTTTTTAACACAGTAAAAACACTCATAATGTAACATCGTTTTCGTGAACACTGCTGCTTAGACATTATTTTGTTTTTCAGCGAAGCTGATGGAAAATAATTCTTGCGAGAGTTGAAAGTTAATGAAGATAATCATCGGCATGCTTTCTTTAATGCATGTTTTTAAACACAAGTTGCAAATACATTTCTTATTTTCATCAGTGTCACATACTGCAAAATATGAATTCGAAACGAGAAACACTAACTATTTTTAACTTTCTAATGCGAATCTTATGAAAAATTGTTTAGCTCACCCTCGACTCAAAACACTCCGCCACTTATGAACATGATATATTTTTCTGAAGACTGGATTTGTTTTCATAGATTTAGATCTGAATTATTTAAAAGATAATTATAGAACTCTGAACAACTGAGATGAGTATTCATTTTAGTTCCTAATTACATGCTAACAAGATTGTACATAGGTCACTCCACAAGTTTTTTTCGTACTGTTCACTTAAGGGCTCCTCCTCCGAAAATCTAATTTGTCGAAGAAATATCGAAGTTGAGCTTTTATCATAGAAAGATGCAGCGAGACTTCTTCTTTCAGAATATCTATGGTTTTTTGGAAAATGATCAGATTTTCAGAGACTTATTACATCAAACTTTGATTCTATCATCGTGTATTTTGAGACATTTTCGTGGTTTTTAAAGGTTTTTAGTTCTGAAAAAACTGCATTGTCACTTGTATTAGCATTGAATGGAACATTTTTATATTACGTAGAATTTCAGATGATGTTAGCTACCATCATCTCTTACGTGCTTTAAAATGGTTTACTGGAATGAATTAGTAATATATCATTATAATATGATTTTTCCTGGATTTGAATGAAAAAATCCAGTTCTAAAATTTTTTAATGTTTTTTTCCCAAAATGGTGGTCGCACGATCCACCTCTAGTGAAAGTCAACTACAATGTTGTATAAAGTCGAATATTTTTTTTTTGTTTGAAAGAGCATGTCCCAATGCAGTATCTATGAGAGTCCTTTTTTGAAATAGGCCTTGCTTTTATTATATTGAAAAGCGCCTTCTTAAATAGAGCGCTATTTTTTGAGAGTTTTTTCAGTAACCGAACTTGTTAGGATTCTTTTCCCTTAAAAGACAAGATTTAAAAAAAAAAAGAGCCCTCATAGACACTACATCCGGACATGTTCTTTCAAACAAAAAAAAATCAAGTATATATATTGAAGAGCCACTGAGAACTTTTGGAGATGTGAAAAGTCATTTTTTGATCCTTATTCGATCCGTATCTCCATTCTACGTCATGATGGAAGGCTGAAAATTTTATCACACACGTCCTATCACAGGCCCAACACATCCTCCGAATATCAGCTAGTTTGGATGTTCCTGGACTGAGACCGATTTTTGAGAGAGGGGGGAGGGGCACTTGAAAGATTTTATTAAGGACTAGTAATACTACTGTGAGGCCCAGACATATTTAGGATTATGTGCAACATTTCAGACTTCTAAGTCTTGTGCTTTGTTAAAATCTATCATTTCTTTCATACTAGTAAGGCAAATTAAATAGCCAAGTTTTATATATCAGTTTTCAATCTCTTAATAAATTATATTGAAAAAACAAAACACATTACAAAATCCAACATATAAAGCTCTACAATTTACATAAGACCGTTTTTTTTTATCATTACGCTTTTGTTATAGGAGACGTATTAGTAGACTAATAGTGTGGATGTGGTTGTCAGTGCTCTTTTTATCCACACCCACACATACCCACACTCGCGTTGGTTTTTCTTGCAATAACAGTAAGAACAAACTTGTATAAAAAAAAAAAAAGAAAGAAGATGAAAATAAAATTCGAGGAAGTAACAAAAAAAACCCAGCCGAAGGATAGAATGACAATTTACATTAAGCAAGAGCAATTCTTTGTAAAATCATTTATTTCCTTGCTGCGTTCGTATGCAAATATTGTCTGATAAGATATAAATGAATAGACTTACTGCAAAATAAACTAGTTCGTCAATCATTTATTTATTTTAGACAAAAGTATACAGAAGCTTTCACACTCGTTCAAAAGGTCATTTTCAACACTAAAGTGAAATCAAAGAAATTTACAAGTAATATATAACGTTTTTTTCTCTTTTCTTGTTCTGTTCTGAACAGAACGAAGAAAAACGAGAAAAAAATTATTATATATTACTTGTAAATTTCTTTGATTCCACTTTAGTGTTGAAAACGACATTTTGAATAAGGTTGAAAGCTTCTGTACATTTTTTTTTAAATAAATAAATAATTGACGAGCTAATTTATCTTGCAGTAAGTCTGTTCTAATAGAACTCGGTAATAAATTTTCTTGTTTCATGCTTCGTTTTTCTTTGTATTGCGATTCAAGAGGATGGCAAATTCTCTCTATCTTTAGAGTATCCTATCGATCTACAGAATTGTATTTAACTTTTTCCTAGTGAAATACAACTATTATGGAACATCAATAATATACGTAAGTTTTATAAATGTTTGTAAAATTCAGATTAATCATAGAAAAATAAAATGGCCTAAGTCGTTGTTGATGATGAAGAACAAGAAGTGAAAGAACATATTCGATTCAATGCCTACCAAGAATCGACGAAACCAGGTGGAACGTTTTGTCAACCGAGAGTAGATTACTCAACAATTGTATTCTAATGAAATATGAGTTATTGTCAACTAAAAAAAAAGGATGCGATTGTTGTTTTGAACAATCCTTTTTCCATTAATAAACATTGCATCTTGTTCCATCAATTTTCAATAGACATGGGCTTGGATATGATCTTTCACTTATTATTCTTCGTCATCGCCAATCACTCAAGTCATTTTATTTTTCATTGATTAATCTGAATTCATGAAAATATGAACTTTACAAATATTTATAAAACTTACGTATATTATTGATGTTTCATAATAGCTGTGTTTCATTAGCATAAAATTATGTATAATTCTGTAAATCTATAAAATACTCTAAAGATAGAGGGACTTCGCCATTCTCTCAAATACAGTACACAGAAAACAAAGTACGAAACAAGAAAATTTGTTATTGAGTCTCATAAGAAAGTAGCAATATGTAAATAATTTTACAAGAAATTGTTCTTCGTTCATGCAAATCATCATTCTATCGGTCTGTTGGTTTTTCTTGTTACTTCGTCGAATTTTATTTTCATTTTCTTTCTGATTTTTTTTTATTCAACTTTATTTTTTATTCTTGTTGCACGAGAAATCAGTCACTTGTTTTGTTTACATAATTATGTACATTTTATTCTTCTCAATTCTGACAATAATGATCATTCTTTTGTCGCATTTTCTTGAATTTATAGGAAAGCAATGGCAGCAAATGCAAAATCTGGTCGATGGCGGGTTAAAGTGACGTCTCTTCCTACATCCATTACCATAGAACAATTAGCTCAATCATTGCACATTTCTTCCTCACGAGTCTGTATTCCAAAAACTCAAGGTAAAGCAACTTACTATGCCTGGATCAACGATTTTGATGACGAACAAGATGCAAATGAATTCGTACTTCAAAATGCACAACTAATCATTTCAAATTTACATATAAAATGTTCTGCAATTGAGTCTAAAGATGACAGCATGAATTTTCAACATCAACCACGAAGATGTTCCGTGGATACTCGACCACAGAAAAAGCCTACTTTAACGAATACCATCCAGCATAAGAACTCACAGCAACGATCAGGTAAGTTTTTCTTTCACAGAAAAAAAGAAAATACATGAATTTAAATGTGTTACCATATTGGGCATCAGTAGAAAATCTAAAGGTCTTCTCTTCTAAGTATATTTTCAAAAATTCATCTTGTGATTAGTAATATTTTTCTGAGGGTGTGAGTGTAGATGTTTTCTTCCTCCAATACTTACACTGACACCCTTTCATTAAGTTTCTTAAAATAAAATAAAATAAAATGTAGCATCTCATTTAAAACTTTAAGATATAACAACACCTACAATGATAATGTGAGTTCATGTAAAAGTCATATTCGGTTCTATAGCTTAGTAGTATTTCTTGTTCTTAGTTAAGCATTGTTACAATGAAGAAGTCTAAATATTGTGCTACATTATAGCGTCAGCTGCTCGAGTTTCAACGCAGACTCCTGACACTGAGTGTGAGCGTCATTCGAGACGTCAAAATTATGATTCATGTTTACCGTCCAACTGTCTTCTTGCTCATACACAAGGATTACCTTCCGTAAGTCAAAACTCAGAAACATTTTGTCTTTAGCACGAAGCTCTTTCAATCTTTTAATCGTATTTAGAAACAGTGTCTTAATGACATTCAAGATTATTTACATCCGCTTCAACCTGCCGAACCATCAAAACCAATAGTTGCTATGCCGTTGGCAGCGTATAACAAGCCAAACATCTTTCCTGGCTCAACAAAGGAACGACCAAGAGAAGTAATTGAGTTAAGTATTGCCGAGCAAAATTTTCTTGAATATTTTGGTGACAAAATCTTGGATAAAATTCGTAAAGAACAAGGTATTGAAGATGTAAAAGTTAAAGATGGTAAACTTCAACTATCAGGAAATAGTTTAACAATTACAACTATAAAATCTTACTTAAAACAAGTACTTCATGAACAGAATGTGATAATCCCAAATAGTCTGAAGAAATATTTACAGTTATCTGCTAAAGGATGTTTAATGAAGAGATTTTTACAAAAATATTCTCTAGGAATTTCTTATCTGGAAATATCAACAAACCCTTCTTTGAATACCAATGATATAATTACAATTAAAAACCGTGCTAATGATCATGATAAATATGAAAGAGAAAAGCAATATGATAGTGATCGTGATATGGATCAATCTGAAGATGATGATGATGATAATCGAAAGAATGATGTTTCAAATACATTATCAAATGTCGCAAATATTTCGAGTAATCTTAAGCATTGTCGTCTATATGCTCAAAAATTTATACAACTAACATTATGTAATGACTCAAAAGATTTATTATCTAAAGCTATAAAAGAATTAAAAAGTTATAATTTGTACACTCAATTATGGACATTAACACAAGATGAAATTACATACATTTTAAAACAACCACAACCGACCAAACCTTCAAAAAATAATACTAAAATTGGCAATCAATGTTTTCAGATTAAATTTTTTCTCATTAATCTCATTCGATCTACTCGAAATTCGATCGTAGAGATTTTTGTAGATTATAAAAATGGTTTTTGGCGTGTGAAAGTGAGAGGATTCAAGAATCATGTCAACAATGCTATGTCGAAAATAAAAAATTGGTTAAATGATAATATTGAAACTGAAGTACAACTTCCTATTTCAAAAGTTATGTCAATTTTTCTTCGAACAAAAGTTTCCTCTGATATAAAAAAATTGGAAAAAACTCATTGTATAAAAATAACAACCATTTCGGCATCTTATCGAAAACATTTGAATGATGAACAAAATGATGATAATGATTGTTTAAAACTCAGTGGTTCTTATTCACACATTACTTTGGCACGAGAAAGCGTTGAAAATTTTCTCGAAAGTTTATCTGAACAAGAAAAACAATTTCCTTGTCATAGTTGGGATATTTCAAAGAATATTTCTCATATTATTCGTACACGTCTGAAAAAACTACAAAATTCGGATGATTGTGAAGCAATAGGATGGATTAAAATCTATACAGCGACCCAAAAAAGAGATATTACACCAACAATTACTATATCAATAGTTGGTCTAAATGAAGAAGCAGTTGATAATGTCAT